GGTGGCTGCCGGAAACGGGCCTCGGCCTGCGCCTTTTCCCCGGGCCCTGGCGGGGCCTTCCTCCCGGCCCGCGGGGAGGCCTCACCCGGCCCCGGTGCCGATGCGGGGCCCGCCGGGGGAAGGCCTCACCCCGTCCCGGTGCGGTGCCGAGCGGGGAACGGGCTCACCCTCCGCCCCGGTGCGGTGACGGACGAGGAAAGGCCTCTCCCGGTGCCGACCGGGGCAAGGCCTCACCCTGCCCCGTACCAGGCCGCGTTGGGGCCGACTCATCCTGCCCGGTGCCCGGCCGGGGGGGGGGCGGTGGGGAGGAAGGAGGGCCTCGTCCTGCCGGGCGCTGCGGAAGGGTCCCCGCGGGCCGCCTCGGTGCGAGCGGGCCCGGCCCGGCCCCCTCGGGGGGTGGGGAAGAGCCTGGTCCTGCTCTGGCCCCCGGTGCCGTTCCCGGGCTCAGGCCTCTCCGCTCTCCCTCCCCCGCCAGAAAGCCATCGACCTGGTCACCAAAGCCACCGAGGAGGACAAGGCCAAGAACTATGAGGAGGCGCTGCGGCTGTACCAGCACGCCGTGGAGTACTTCCTCCATGCCATCAAATGTGAGATGGGGACGGGGGGGTGTGTGTCTCTGTGTGTGTGTCTCTGTGTGTGTGTGTGTTCTCCCCCACACCCCCCCACTACAGCCCAGGGGGCTCCAGAGGGGCTCCAGAGGGGTTGGTGGCCGTGGCACGGGGCCACGGGTGATGCCTGGGGTGTGGGGGTGTCCCTGCAGATGAAGCTCACAGCGACAAGGCGAAGGAGAGCATCCGAGCCAAGTGCATGCAGTACCTGGACCGGGCAGAGAAGCTGAAGGAATACCTGCGCAGCAAGGACAAGCAGGGCAAGAAACCAGTCAAAGAGTCCCAGAATGACAACAAGGGGTGCGTGGCGGGGGCGCAAGGGACCTTCCTGCCCCGTGGCAGAGCTGGCAGGACCCTGCTGGCACATCGGGACCAGTCCTGCTCCTGACTTTCGTGTCCCCTCTCCCCAGGAGCGACAGCGACAGCGAGGGTGAGAACCCCGAGAAGAAGAAACTGCAGGAGCAGCTGATGGGTGAGGTGCTGCGGTGGGCACGGTGGGCATGGTTGCGTGGTCAGTGGAGGGGTGGCTGCAGGGTGGGGGGACATATTGCTGGGGTCCGGTAGCCCCCAAACCATGCTCCGTGCTGAGGAGCAGTGGGGTTGGTGGGGGTTTGGTGGGGCAGAGGTGTGTGGAGGGCTGGGGGCTCTGGCTCTCCCAGCTCTCCACAGACGGCAGGACCACGGTGCCCATGTGAGCGGAGCCATCCCCTTGCAGGTGCCATCATGATGGAAAAGCCCAACGTGAGGTGGAGTGACGTGGCCGGCCTGGAGGGAGCCAAGGAAGCCCTGAAGGAAGCTGTGATCCTGCCCATCAAGTTCCCACACTTGTTCACTGGTGAGGGTCATGGCAGCGCCGTGGCTGCTGCTCGCCCACAGAGAAGGTGCCATGGGGTGGCATCTTGGGCGAGCGTTGGCAGGGAGGTGACCCCGAGCAGCGGGGACATGATCTGGGCTGCGCAGGGATGGGGGAGCCGTGACACTGGCCTCTGTCGCAGGGAAGCGCACACCCTGGCGAGGGATCCTGCTCTTCGGGCCGCCTGGCACCGGCAAGTCCTACTTGGCCAAGGCCGTGGCCACCGAGGCCAACAACTCCACCTTCTTCTCCGTGTCGTCCTCAGACCTGATGTCAAAGTGGCTGGGAGAGAGCGAGAAGTAAGCTGGCAGCGGGGTTGCGTGGATGCTGCAGGCTGGCTCCTGGCCACCCTGCTGACCAGGCTGGCAGTGCCAGAGCTTTGGCCAGGGCAGGGGAGCCACCAGCATTGGTGAATCCTGTTAATGTGGAAAACGGGTCCCAGGGGAGAGCACAGGCCCTCCTGAGGCTCCACAACCCAGGAACAGCATTTCTTGTGGCCTCTGGTGCCAGCACAGAGTTGCCGGGGCGGGCAGGGGAAGAGGAGCCAGTGGTGTGTGGGACTCCTCACCCCAGGGCTGTTAGGGGCTCTGGGTGGTGATGGTTCTGTGGAGAGTCCCTGACTGGGACCTCTTCCCTGCCTTCGTGGCCAGGCTGGTGAAGAACCTCTTTGAGCTGGCGAGGCAGCACAAGCCCTCCATCATCTTCATCGACGAGGTGGACTCGCTGTGCGGCTCCCGCAATGAGAACGAGAGCGAGGCGGCCCGGCGCATCAAGACAGAGTTCCTGGTGCAGATGCAAGGTGCGTGGGGGCTTCCCGGGTGGGATGAGCCAGCGTGGGGAGGTGTGGGAGAAGCTGCCCGATGCCTGTGCCCCACAGTTCCCTGGGGATTGCTCTCAGCTGCTGTTTCTTGGGCAGGTGTGGGGAACAGCAGCGACGGGATCCTGGTGCTGGGTGCCACCAACATCCCCTGGGTGCTGGATTCAGCCATCAGGAGAAGGTGAGCAGGACAAAACTCCCCCCACACTGGCTCCCCGACCTGTGGGGCTGTGCACAGGCAGGGGGGTGGTGTCTGGCATCGTGGGGCTCACCCCCCAACACCTGCCTGCCCTCCCTTCAGGTTCGAGAAGCGCATCTACATCCCGCTGCCCGAGGAGGCAGCCCGGGCCCAGATGTTCAAGCTCCACCTGGGCAACACCCCGCACAGCCTGACGGATGCCAACATCCAGGAGCTGGCCCGGAAAACAGATGGCTACTCGGGGGCCGACATCAGCATCATCGTGCGGGACGCCCTGATGCAGCCCGTCCGCAAGGTGCAGTCGGCCACGCACTTCAAGAAGGTCAGCTGGGGCTGCTCCTGGACAGGGAGGGGGGTCTGTCCCCAAGGTGGGGAGATCCTGGCTGGTATCGGTGCCCACCCGTGAGCACCGTGCCCCCTGGCTGTGCCGCAGGCCCGCGGTCCCTCCCGCACCAACCCTGGCACCTTCGTGGAGGATCTCCTGACGCCATGCTCACCCGGTGACCCGGGTGCCACCGAGATGACCTGGATGGAGGTGCCCAGCGACAAGCTGTTGGAGCCCATCGTCTGCATGGTGAGTGTGGCAGGCACGGCGCGGGGCCAGGTGGCAGCTGGCCCTGGCACAGCAGCACTGCTGCCACTTCCCTCTCCCTCCTGCAGAGCAGCCACCTCTCTCCACCCACAGGCTGGGCAGGGCTGTGATTCCTGGGGTGATTACAGCTCCTTGCACCCCAAAGGGGGAGTCCTCCCACCTTGCCCTCCCGGAGTGCTGACCCCAGGGCTGAGGGGGGGCACCTGGGCAACCTTTTGGGCAACTCCCACCCCTCCATGCCCAGTCTCAGCTCGCCCCCCCCCTTGATGTCTGTGTTGCAGTCGGACATGCTGCGCTCGCTGGCCACCACCCGCCCCACGGTGAACGCTGACGATCTCCTGAAGGTGAAGAAATTCACGGAGGACTTTGGACAGGAAGGTTAAGGGGAGGGAGGGGTGGAGGTGGGGGGCGTGGGGCTGGGGCAGCCGTGCCAGCAGTGCCCTGCCGAGCCCCCACACCACGCCGGCCGTGCCAAACAGGTTCATCTTCCGCTCACTACCCACCCCATCGCACTGCAGCACCCAGCAGGGCGCGGGGAGCACGGCCCGGGGGGGGGCTGACACTACCTGGTGTGTTGGGGGGGGGCTCGAGTGTGGTCTGGGCAGCCGGGTGCTCCCCCTGGCCGTGCCCCACTCTTCTTCCTGCTCTTTTTTATTTTTTAAATTAATGCTGCTTTGGGTTCTGTCTTGTTTATATGAAAATAAAAAACAATCTAAAAGCTTCAGCTGGTGCCCAGCCCCTCCCTGAGGCTCTGACCACATGGGGGTACCCAGCCCAGCCCCCCCCTTCTATGTAACTCACCACCCCAGGGCCAAAATCTCCAGCTCTGCCTGTGGCGCTGCCACCACTTGCAGGCAGGAGCCCCCCAGAGCTGCTGCCTGTCCCCAGGTGGGTTGTGGGGCTCCCCGTTCTCCAGTCACCCTGGATAGGGATTTGTGTCTCTGGCAGGAAGGAGTGGGGCTGCTTGGGGCTTTGCCCCCCCCAAGCACACAGTGCTTGGAGGAGCCCTCAGCCCAGGGATGAGCCCTGAGGGCTCCTGACAGCAACACTACCCTGCCCCAGCCCCACAGCCAGCACCCCATGTCGCCCGGCCAGGCACAGCCCTGCTGTCCCCATGCCCCACCCTGATGCCCCCCACTGTGCCCTGGTTGCTGCCCTCCACCATCTCCACTGTGGCACCTCCCTCTGTCTCCACTTGCCTGGCACTGCTCCCAGACAAGCCCTGGAGAGGGGGATCCTTCCCTCACACACACCCCAACCTTCTCCCAGTGTAGCCCTGGCAGCAGGTCTTGTTCCTAGACCCATAAAATAATTTAAGGTGCAAGGGGCAGGAAGAACCGGGAGCCACGCTGAGTCCTCACAGTCTGTATTGGCTGCAATAAAGCTGAGTGGGAGCCCTCCTGGGGCCGTGGCTCCGCGCTGCTTCTTTCGCCAGGGTAAGGGCAGGCACCCAGCGCTGTGCCCGAGGAGCCCCAGGGCCTGGGCACCCACCCGGGGCTCTGACACGGCCCCGCGCCGGAGATAACGAGGGGCCGGGGCTGCCCGCTCACCCAGGTGGTGGGGGCATCAGTCCAGGAGCTCCATCCAGCCGACGTTGGTGAAGGTGCGGGTGTCCATGCGGTCGATGTAGAGGATCCCGTCCAGGTGGTCCATCTCGTGCTGGATGATGCGGGCGGCCCAGCCCGTCGCCTCCCAGCTCACCGGTGCCCCGTGCTCGTCCACCCCTGCTGCCCGGGAGAGCGGTGGTCGGGATGGGGGGACACACACACCAGGGGAGGGGGGGCTGGGTGGTAACGGGGGGAGAAAGGAAAAGGAGGTGCGAGATCCCACCCGGGGCAGAAGAACCCCCCGGGAAGGGGGTGGGGGGGGG